CCGGGTCCCCCCCAGGACCCCCCCCTAGCTTCACCAGTGGTCGATAGTGTATAGAAGAAGGGGTGGAGAGTTCACAGAAAAGATAAGATTGCAATTTTATCTTGTAAATTTTTTGCATCATAATGAATTAGTGTGATGATGGGGGAGGACGTAGTGTCACATTGAATCAAATATTTATAAATATTGCATGTTTATTTTTATTTTTTTCGAATTGATTGCTCTTTATGAAATAAAATTATGAGTTTATAATTCTCAACAGATAAAGATGGAAGATAGAAGAGCAAAATGGAAATTTATGTTAAGAGGGACTCTGAGCACAAGGTTTATGTAATTTGTAATTCATTATATAAAGTCGAAAACAAACTTTCATTTTTAAACATATATTTCGTAATATCAACAATTTCTACCCCATATCCACCACAGTATAATCTAAGGAACTTATAATGAAATCGAAACAAGCACCAAATCATGTTAGGTTGGATCTATTGAAACAAAAATTTATGCCATTTAAATTATATTCTTCAGTTTTGGTGAAGAAATTTCTTTTATAACTCAACCATGATGGACATGATATTATATCCATGGACTTGAACTAGTAATATTACACAATAAACATGAAATTAAAGAGTGTCTTTGATTTTGATACATGGATGGCGATTTGAATCGAAAAATTCGAGCCTCGCATATCTCATCATGCTTAATCAGGACATCTTAACAATTTCGAGAAAATTGTTGATTTCCACGTTTCAGTTTCTAAAAAAGTTTAGTGTTTGTCTGAAAATGAATCCCGCCATTCCCACACAACTTTTTTATGTTCAATCCCATTAACTCAATTCCCAAATTATACATTTATCCTAGAGTTTTAAAGAAAATAATGATAATGACAAACGGAGCAGTAAACACTAAAGAATTGGGGTTGATTAAGTGTGAAGGTCTTAAAGCTATCTATTGACATTAATAATATATTTTAATATGGCATCCGAGGTTAACTCCGTTGTAGTCTAGTAGCTTAGGATATTCGGCTCTCACCCAAGAGACAAGGGTTCAAGTCCCGGCAACGGAATTCCTTTTTTTTCCACTTTATGGTTTGAATGGTTAATATATGAGTAAAAAGTTTCATTAATCACTGAACTTTGAATGTTGTCACGTTATAGTTAGTTAATTTTAATATTTCCCTATATGGTTATTAAACTTACAATCGGTTGACTCCATCCATCACCAAACACACACCTGTTTGGAAGGCGTCCCAAGTGGCTTAACAGAATCCGATGTAGCTGTGAACGACGTTTGAATAATGCCACGTAAGAGTTTTCTTTCTAAAAATCTCCGAGTAATGTTATTCATCCCCATTGAGGATGAAAACACAATCTAAGTGGCGTTAATGTGGCATTAAATGATAGGTGAAATTAAATAAGTCATTTAATTTCACATTTCATTTTACATATCATTTACAGCCACCTAAATTGTGTTTTCATCCCGACTGGGGATGAATAACATTACTTAAAATTTCCGTATCCTTCAATTGAACGAACCTATCTCATTCCTAAAACCAAATTGACCCCCTGAACGAACCCTAATCTCCCAACCCCGTCGCAATTGCAAAAATTGAGGTGGGATCCAACCCAGAAATTGAGGTTGGAAGGAGCAATACTGTTGGATTGCTACTTGAAGTGAATTGGAAACCGCTTGATTCTTTATGAAAGCATTGAGTAGTTGCACTGCGTTTTCACTTGGTTTTACTTCATTCAAAAATTATTTTTTTTTCATTTTAACATTGGCGGATCACGGGAAGCTCAAATCGGATATTTCAGTTGCCGGAACTTTTGCCAGCAATGCTTTTGCTGCTCGCTTCGCCAAAGTAAACTCTATTTTTTTCAACCCTTCCTTACAGTTTTGAGCAATTTGTACAAATCTTGCCCATCTCACGAGTATACTGTTCAAGTATGGAAAACGAAAAGTGAAGTGGAGATTATGAAACTGCTTCTGACCTCGAGCAGCGTGGAAGATGGTCGTCAATGCATAGAAGTTTGTGAGTATTCAGTTTTCATTTAATTGTGTTTACTGTCTTAATTTTGGTCTACCTACCTCTCTTGTTCTACTGGTGTTCCAGTGCCGTAATCTCCTTGTTTCATAAGGAAGATAGTTGTATTTGTTGTAGTATATGGGATGTATTCGCAGGAGAAAACTGGGCAAGCTATGGATACAATGAAAGACAAGGAACAGGGGGCCAAAGACAACTTCAGATGTGGCGCACTTCGCACGTGATCAGAATACAAATAAGTTCAGCAAACAAGTTCTTCCATTTTTCATTCAACGATACACAAATTTAATTTCAACTTCACACCATGATAATAACAAATAAGTTCAACAATACATTATAACAAAATTTCATTCAACAGTAGATTTGATCAAGTTCAACAATAAACCAAATTAATTTCAACTTCATACCATTCAACTGCTATAACATAGCAATTAATCACAAATTAGATAAGATCATTTCCTCTTCAAGGTCTAAAATACACCCATGAAACAAAGTGACAGCAGTACTGAGTTTTTGAGTTTTTCATAATTCTTTTTCTTGGTTCTCTATCTCTTGCAAATCTTCCACCAAGGTTTCAAGTGGAGCTTTTTCCGTTGTTGAACTGTCTTGCTTTAATAAATGAAGGACCATAGTTTGTTTAACTGTGCAGCAATAGTTACACCAAGTGTTGGTTCTGGTGGTTGCACTTCATATACATGCATCTTCGATGGCCTCCTAGGCACAGAGTTTTGCCTGTAAAGGGGTTAAGTCATCATATATCACTTTAAAAAAATTAACTAATTCATTAATAGTCGATACTGAGATAGTCTTGATTACTCTTGAGCTTCCAGTGACTTGAGCTTCCTTCATTCGTAGGATCTGCGGCCCCACAATTCCAATCCTGTAAAGATGATACAAATGAAAATCAGTAGATCATATAGTCTGAAAATAATAGAAACTACAATGCAAAGTTTACTATAGACCAACCAGAACTAAGAAGATATACAACTTTCTTGAACTTATTTATAGCCTCCCCTGTTGGCTCAAATAAATTCCAGAATTAATTATTCCACTCGTGTGCATTTTGAAAAACTGCTGGGCTGGATCCCACCTCAACTTTTGCAATCCCAACTCATGTACACCAAATTGGGCACTCCAATTTCTCAAAACTGTTATAGGAATGGGAGAAAAAAATGGAGTCTAACTCGGCGAAGCAAGCAGCAAAAGCACTGTCGGCAAAAGTTTTGGTTAATGAAATGTCCAATTTGAGCTTCCCGTGATCCGCCATTGTTAAAATGAAAAAAAAATTAAATGAAATGAAATTAAACCAAGTGAAAACGCAATGCAACGATTCCGTGCTTCCATAAAAATCAGGCAGCTTCCTCATTGTGGAAAAAGGCGATTACTGGGATCTTTTGCGAAAAAAGGTGAGCGACATACTTCCTCATTGTCAATTACTAAAAATTATGCTAAGAGAGTTAGGAAGGCTTAAATGATTTATAGGCAGCAGAATACCTGTTTCTGAAAGTTTCACTTTTCCTCATTCAAATGTTAAAAGGGAATATATGATAGGTTCATGCAAGCCGAGAAGAATCACACTGTTCTATTATTACCCCATGTATGTACCAGATGCAAAGCGAGCATCCCAACAAGAAGTCCAACTGCAAGCATTTTAATTGCAACTACTTGATAAATGATGTTTGAGATGGAATTCTCAGAGCTTCTGAGTTAATTTCATCCCTAACATGGTACACCTGAGTTTTTTTAAAAAAAAAAACATATAATTTTTCCCAAGAACTAAGCTACCAGTGACTGTATGTTACCTCAATGCAAACATATAGATTTTTCCAACGGAAATTCACAACTTATTGAGATGGATTTCCAACTTATAACTTTTAGTTCTTCTGATTTGAGCAATGGGGGAAGGGGTTAGAGATGAAACATCTTCACCTTCTCAAACTATTGCAATTACCTTAAAAACCTCAACACCAAGCAATAACCATGTAAGCATTGTCTATCAATTCATTTAGACAAATCAACATACACTTAACCTGTACAGACCTCCAATACCTAAAACAGACCCATAAGTCGCATCATTTCATGTTTAAACACAAGCCCATGGAACCATAAATTGCATCAAACCAGGCAAACAAATTCTCATTCAAACCAGTAAATGGAAATTCAGGGCATCACCTGTTTTGTGTTTTGACGTGGTTCACCTTTCGGCATGTGGGTTCGTGTGCGGGCAGCTTACGTTCCTGGAGTGTTCACGTCGGAAAGACGCTTCTTCACACCGTATGAAGGAACAGACCGAAATCGAAAAAACACCTGGATCTGGTGTTACTTGGAGGACGACAAATTTCAGCCAATCTCGAATTCTGGAACAATCGAATTGGGGGAGATTGTTGAAGAAATTGGTTTAGGGTTCGCGATTTCAAAATTAGGGAAAATGGGTAGGTTGATTTGAAGCTATCAAATTTATCCGTAGGCTGAAGACAGGAAAAGGGAATTACGTGGTTGAGTTTTCACGCCGTCTCTTACCACCGGGGACACCGTTATGCCAGCTTAAACGACCTTCAAACGGTTGTTCTTGGAGTGACGGATGGAGCTCACTTCGTGTGAGTTCAGTTCGTGTTCAGACTTAAAATGAATGACAGTGGGTGAAGTTCAATGACTAATGAAACTTTTTACTCGTGAATATATCAACACATAAAGTTGTAGTTCGCACTTATTTCAAATTTCTTTTTCAAATACAGTTCTCACTCCTGAGTATGGATCAAGTCCTCTGGCGGGAGTAACTAAACGCACTTCTTGGTTTTTAAGTGGAGTCCCCTAGTTCCTGTATTGGGTTTTGAGATTTGTGCCAAAAAGCAGAAAAATCAACAATAAAGAAAAAAAACTTGCATTGAGAATATGGAGAATCGGACACCATCTGAACAACGACAGTTTGTACACGTATCTCTCCCCCTATTTCTCTGTATGTGCGCAATCATTGTATTCTGCAGTGTAGACAATAGTCCTATTTTCATTCTTGTCGTCAAAAAAATTCGATACGTTATACATAATACAATGGTTACTGAATTATGATTCTGTTTTTCGGGACGAAAAAGCTGATGTTCTTGATGTCTGGCCTTTCAGATTCCAAGCATGTGGAAATTTGTTGATGTTAACTTGAGAGGCACACATACCATAAACCAATCTGGTATTGTGTAATGGTGTTGGGGATTGAACCAATACAAT